ACATACATACACACACGCACACATACATTCACACATAATCCTTGCTCGGGGGGAGTCGAAAAAGCCTCACCAACAACACCCGTGATCAAGTTCAAAGTCTCTAAGCTCTACTCAACCTAGGTACAAACCATGTATCAAAAGTCCAAGCCAAGTTAACATAAACGTCCAATAACTAACTTGTAAGCCTAGAGGCATATGTGGGCCTGAGGAATCCGAGTCGAGCTTTTCCAGGAGGGTGATGTCAGCTGGGTTCCCTAGTTACTGTAGTTCTGTCTTAGTTCGACGAGCCTTCCCTGAGGCACTCACAGCCCTTGTGACCGCTGAGCCGCGAGCCGGCGAGGAGACAGTGATTCTGATCTTGTGCCGCTGCACATGCCCTGTTTGCAAGGCAAGAGGAACAGCAAGGCCATGCGTTCAAGTAAGCTCCTTGCCAGTGCACAGCTTGGCAGACGCCCAGGCCCCAGTGTTCCCAAGTCTTCAGTTTTTTGTGACTATGGGCAGCATCTCTTCAAAGCCTGAGCCGTATTGAAGTCAAGAAGCTCGCGGAGAGGAAGTCCACCATGACCGCATCATCTCCTGCCGCTTCCTTTTGAGTCTTCAGGCTTGAACTAAGCGAGGTTGGGCTGGACTTTTTCTCCCAAGTGCTTTTCTCCCTCGTTTTTTCGGGACCTGTATGTCTACTGTACGGGGTGTGCTTGGAGTGAGCTTAGTAGTGGTAATTTTCGTTAGGTCACCCACTTCTGAGGACGCGGCCCCTCCCGCTGCTCCCACCCCCTTGTTTGCTTCTGGGCAGTGCAGGCCTGTACTTTCATCAATGACAACCACTCTCATATATGTTCCGTAGCATTTGGCTCCAAGTGGTTTACTTGATATCAGCGTTCTCATCGAGTACAAACAAGGCTTACAGCGCGAGCAAGGGACAAGTCATTGGGCCTTGAGGGGACCACACTGTACTTGCATCCTCCCATAGGAGGGGGATATCGTGTCAGTTTTATGGTGGCGGAGCCCGTGTTGTTCGTGAGCCGCTAAAGTGGTTGGCTCCAGCCGATCGCTTCCCACGGCGGGCAAAGCTCCACCTCTCCGAGGACGACTTGAAGCGGTCGATGTGCGACATGGACCCGATTTATACAAAGCGTCCTGGTCGCATGGATGTCGTCTTCAGGCCTGGCGATGTTCGGGGGACTTATCATTGGATAAGATGCTGAATCATCCTCTTCATCGTTTTGGTCTTGCCGAAGATGGTCCTGCACCTATCTACACAAGTGAGACCAAGTTTATCCTGAATCAGGGGAATGTCGTTCGCGGTCGTAAGCGCTCTGCTCCCTCTGCACATGCCGATCTCCTTGACTATGATGACAGCGGAGAGAGCAGTGGAGCATTGATCAAGAGCATCGCCCAGGCCAAGGCACACCTTTTCATTCTGTGCGAGGCCGGAGCGATCTCTGACTCCGAGTTGCAATTCCTCTATGGTCGTGGTTGGGAAAGTTTCCGTAACCCTGCAAGAGATCTTCTCGTTGAGCATCTTGTTGGGTCCAAGATGAGACAGTTGACAGGCTCGACACTGGTCGGGGTAGCCCATCATCATCTGCACTTAATGATAGTGGAGATCACCTTTGGAAAACTCTTCCCATCGGTGGACAAGGCAACCGAGGAGGCTTTCCTGATTCGGCCATGACAGCTACTTTGACGAGAGCTGGCAGCGACATGATCCGTGTCTCTGTTTTCCGCTTGGACAGCAAGGTCGCGGCCAGTAAAGTTGGTCTTGCTCACGAGGCCCTGGGAAGTATGTTTTCTGGTTGCTTGCATTATCAGGTCGATTTGATCGGTGGTGATGCAAATAAGGCGCTATGTCGTGTCGCAGGACGCAATCGAGAATCCATGGACATTAGAGGAGGCATGTATCAAAGCACCCCGCGATTACTTCCTGGAGGCCTGGACGGAGATCCCAAAGTGCTTTCGAATGTGCCACCATCGGGTACACCACAGTTCGTCAAACAGCCTCTGTCTTCTCAAGCAATATGAAGACCAGCTTCGCCGTCCTTACAAGGAGTGCACACAGCCCGACTGGAAGACATTTCCTGGCTTGGATCCATTCATCGCCACCGTCATGGAATAGGGACATTCAATGGACGACGAGCAGTGGCCTCAAGCACCTCCTGGTCAGATGGAATACAAGGTCAGCGTCTCCGAATGGCTTCTGAATTTCACTTCGGCAGCTTACCTCCTTCAAGACCGGGACGATGACTCTCATATTCCTCTCCCCATCGAGGTCCACGCGAACCAGTACACCGGTGGGAGGATGAGAGCAATTAGCCGTAATCCGGAAACGTTCAAGGAGGCAGCCGACAGACGGAAGCCGACAGAAGGCTAACAAGGCTCGCGGATGCGCCGATCCCGCACAGCCTTCACCTACTGGAACAGGCTCTCCAGGAGAGGGAGTTTCTGGTGGCACAGCCTGTGGCTCACAACGCCCAGCCGAACCCGCACAACCTCCTGGTGGGACTTTCGCTCGTCTACAAACTGTTGTCGTCTACCCGGACGATATCTACCGTTGGCTTGGCGATGGGACATGTGGGCAATCTTTCAAAACAGAGTTTTGACCGAAGATCCGTTTGCTTTTGTGTGTTCGTGTTCTGCTCTTTATTGACAAAAAGTTGTCTCGAGGCCAGAGATGTATCGATTCTCACAGGTCACTTGTGTAGCTCAATGTTACTCCGCTTTTACTTCGCTTGGGCGATAACATGCAATGTAGAAAGCCGACTTCACGGCCATGCAGCTCTACATGTTTTTAATTTTGTGCCTGGTTGAAACGCAGAATGTTACACATCCAGGTGCCTGTCTGTTTCACGTGTGTATCTATGCCTGTTTCTCAAGGTTCTCGCAGAGTACTGCTTTGCAGCTGTGCGCCGATAGCAGAAAAAAACACCTGTGTTTGCCTGTGATCCTGTACGCTTTGCGAGGGGATACACGCCTAGGTTGTTATCTCACCCCTCCCCCCATTAGGGTTTAGGGTTTAAGTTTAAGGGTTAAGTTTAGGGTTTAGGGTTTGGGGGGAGGGAGAGGAGGGGGGGGCTTCTTTTTCTGCAGGGTGGCTTGCGTTGCCGTGCGAGCGTGAAACAACAACCTTGTCAAAAATCTCGCCAGTGTGCGAAATAGAATACATCATCAAGGGCGAAGATCCTGCACAATAGCAAGAGTGGCTATGACAAGTACTGTAGTACTGAATGACACCACATCCGATGCCTGCACGGAAGCTACGACTTGTTGAAGAATCACGCCGTGGCTCTGTGCAAACGGGTTCCATAGGTCCATAAGCCAGTGTCCAGAGTCCAGGTTGTCACGTGACACGCCGAAAATTTTTGTGTCCTTGTGCCAGTGGCAGGAAGTCACTTCTTGATCTCTGCTCCTGTGAATGCTTTGGTTGAAACCGCAGGAAGCCTTATCGACAACCCTGGTAAGTGAAAAGACTGCTAGTGAAAAACATGCAGCATTGACTAGACATAATATCATGCCACGGCTTGTGTCCCTTCAACCTCGAGGCACGAGGCGTGTGGTCAGAAGTCACGCCTTCACATGCCGTCCCCCGGCAACTGTCTAAGGCATGTTTGCGCTGGACAGCCTCTCCTGGGCCACTGGCAAGATCTTCCAGCCGCTCGGCCGATGCCCACAGGCCGTAGGCTCCTGTTGTCGTTTGTGAAGCATCCCTTTGCCTCCGTGCCCTGAGTTTGCACAACCGGCCTGAGCGCTCTGGCTTTGCCATAAAAACCATGAAGCGGAAAGCTCTCCGCCAACTTCTGCACAGTGCAGGTACGAGGCGCTGCTCATTGCAGAGGACTTGCGGTTGCCAGCTGTGCGGTGCTTTGCAACTGTCGCGACACGACTGGTCAGAATGGACCACAGAACACTCCATGTGTTCTCGATATACCAAAAGCCTCGCAAAGTGAAGTGAAGGAGCTTGGATGGTGCTACCTTCTGATCTCCTTCGTCACCACAACTGCAGAGATCGTGGCACCTTGGTGCATGCGCGGGGTCGGTAGGGTGCGACAAGTGATGAGGTGCGCGTGGCTGTATCAGACCGAGCAAATTGTGGATAGACATCTGAAGCTGAAGTATGGCCCCAATATCCGGTGCCTGCATGGCGAAGGGCGCAGAAGCTGAGGTGGAATTCATCGCCTCGGCGCTCACACCTCTCATACACGCTCGTGTGGAGGGGAGGCGAAGCAGCCGCAGCCTTGCGTGTTTGGCAACGAAGGCATACGCTGGGAGCAGCTTGCCAGCACAAATTCTGAAAGGTTCCCCTCCAGGGCCTTACTCACTTTAGCATCTGGAGAGGATGTTGGCTAGTGCCGAGACGAGAACAAAGTAAAAGTGATCGTCAGAGTCCCCAGACTAGCGCTCCATGGGTACAGTGAGGCTCAGGGCCGGTCAGGAGGCAGGAGCTCCAGCCCTCCGTGTGCCCGATTATCGTTTCCAAGACAAGTGATAAACGAAATGCTGTGGAAGAAACTTTTTCAGAATCCAGAGCTCCGAGGTAACTTAGTCGCGCTGGTGGTGTACCCGGCCCTGGGGGCAATGATCCACTTAGCCGGCATGAAAGACACAGCATCCGGGCAAGATGCAGGAACTTTGCACTTGTGGCCTCGTGGTAGGGTTCAAGCATGTTCAAGCACGTTTTGCACGTGCGGAGTTGTCATTTCATGTAGGATCCTCGAGACTGGCGCTTTGGGCCTGTCTCCACGTTACCTAAAGCACCACTGACGATTCCTGCCTAACGGGTCCGCCGGCTACTGAGTCCTAGACTCCTAGACGTCCACCCAGGCGACCCTGTTCGCGAGGTCTGCCGGTCTGAGTGATCTGCAGGCCATGTATGTCGTAGACAAGACTGATGAACTGTTCCGTCCTAGCCAGAGGTAACATGGTGAAGCATGCTGTTCGGCAGAAGAGGAGTAACGGCTACACTTCAGTAAGGATCCCAGGTGATGGTTTGCATACTGGTGATTGTGCGGACCTTGCAATACAGCTTCTGCGACTTGGCTGGGCCTTTCCTGTTTCGTTGTTGAGGGCATCCGGTGTGCACTTTGCTTGCGCGTTAATGTTCGGGAGGTTTCTGTGTCGAAGCCTTGAGTTTGACTTCCTTCTGTCAGTGAGCAGGACTCATATTGACCCCACCCTGCAGCATGGAGTCCGACTTCCCCGAGCTTTGAAGCCCTTGGCCCCACTCGTCACGAAAGAACCTTTCATCCGACGCTCATGAAGGTCATCTGACTTGTCCGAGGGCAGGTGTCGAAACCCATAAACCCGAAACTTCGAGGCAACCAGGTGGGAGACCAAGCGCTGGAGATGCATCTCGGGTGCAACGGGAGTTGTCAAGTCGAGACTTCTATAAGTTGCAGTTCCCTTCGAGTTCGCGTGCTAACTGACTACTCGATTGCACGCGGAACGGGATCTCAACGTAGAGCAGTCTTTCCAGCGATCTGTTGTCCATGGCTGGCCTCTGTGCTTCGTGCGGATGGACGTGGCTCTCTCCCGCCCACACGCCTTCTGCACGCACGCACAGACGAAATAAGCAAGCTCAGAGCAGAGCATGAGCGGGCGGAGACCGAATGTACTTGCAGATGGCAGGCGGAGGATGAGTACCCACAGTACATGCAACACGTGTGTAGTCGTGTGTGCCGTAAGCTATCGTGGAGAGTCGATACATGTTTGATTGGGTACATGTATGTATACAGATAGATGGGTACTAGATAGACGCTACTACGACTTCATGGAACGATGTGTGAAGTGTCGCACTTCAACAAGGAGAGCAAACAAAGATCAACACATTTTGGATCCTGGCCAGGCAGTTGTTGGCATGGGCTTCGCTGTTGAACATGAAAAGCCGAAGCCGCGTGAGGTTGCATCAGTGGTCCGTTGGGACATAGATTCTTTGCACCCAGAGAAGGGCACAACCAAAGCCTGCAGAGGAGTCGGCCCTGCTGGCTGCGCAGCTTCCGCGGAACTTGGCTTTGCCTCCTTAGTCGCTGCCCAGGCATCCCTGTGTCTCCAGGTGTTGATTCGGCGACGGAGTCTCAACATGTAAAAGCCTTCCGGTAACTTGCAGACTTTTCGCATCATGATCCCTGTGGTAGCTTCACCCGAATGAAGGGCTCTCCGCAAAAAGAAGCGATCTAGGCTCGCAATTTGCACGGGACCACGGCGGAACTTAACTTGCCAGTCTTTCGACTCTCAACACATGCGCAAAAAACGATCTCACAGCAGAATGTCAATCCATCGAGGACGCCTTATCCCATCATGGCATTCTAACGCGAAACATGCCAGAAGCCCTTGCAACCTGAAAGCCTGACACACCGAAAAAGACTTCACCTCTGATCAGGGCTTCTCGGGCTACGTCGAGAAGCTTCGCCCGAGTCGGTGTCCTACTATGTGACCCTCCTCCGCTTTGCGATCATGTTTGCCCTAGGCTCGGGCCTGCTTCAGACTTCGGGCCTTCGGTCATGACGGTTGCGAGCGCAAAGTTGAGGCTCGAGGTTCTCCTCCAATCATGGCCTCAGTACGAGTTCCGGTTTCGGGCGAGGTAAATCTGCCCTTCCTTCTTGTTGGAAGACTTAGGTCGCTGGCAGTTGGTTCGCGAGGTGTAGATATCCGGGCACACAGGATGCCCGGGATGCCCCCATGCCTGTGACCTGAAAGAACTTTGTGTGCGCATCAACAGTGACTAAACCGTGTGTTCTGTTCCAGGCATGTCGCAGCAAAATGGTCGAAGCACACGATGCATAATAAGGCTAAATGCATCGGCTATCATTGAGACTCATCTGCCAAAGTCTTATCCCAACATCAGAATCCGAAGCAGAAGGCGGACGATAACTGGTAGCCCGAGCCCTTGATCAGGCTCAGTGTATGTGGTGCTGCACAAGAACGACATGCTTCGCTGCTGGGCTACGCATTACTGGTATGGGACGAGCAAGGGGTTTCGTGCCCTCGCGGAACTCGCTGGACCTCGACTTCCGATGGATTTTTAAGCGTTTCAGAAGTCTGCCTCTCTCTCCCGTACTGTCCGTCTGGCCCCGGATCTTTCGGCTTATGGATTTCACAGATGCTTTGCGAGCCGCGGCCTTCCCTCCGCCAAGGATGGTCTTTGGCTGCACTTTGCCTCATTGTCAATGCTGCGACCTCTCTGATTCTCCTTCGCCAGCTCCCTGCGCCCCGGGCCGCAAATTGCTGAATCGTTGTAGCCTTTGTAGAGTAAACTTACGAACGTCTGCGGAGTGCAATTCCTGCACATTTCTGCGCCATCGTCTAATACTCAACACGCGGGCAGTGTGTAGTCTTTCGCAAACTAGCAGAACAGCAGGTTTGCCCCCACAGGCCCAGACTGTCCAGGCCCCAACTTCCACTTCTGAACCCACTTGTCCTCGAATGCAATTTTGTACGTTGTGCTGTTGCAGAGCAACAGCGCTACAGTAGAATATGAAGAGAGGATAAAAGAGGAGAACATTCCGCTGACAATGGTCCTTTTTATGCCACCAAGTCCAGCTATCCCTGCAACCTTTCCAACCATAACTGCCTAAACTTCGACGACCCTACTACTACTGCTACTGCTACTGCTGCTGCATGTCTACCGCTGGTGTTACTGCTACGGCTACTGCTCCTCATCTGCTACGACAACACCAGTATGATGTGGCTGCACACCAAGGGAATGCACAACCATGGTGCAATGTCTGAATGGTCTAGGCCCAGGCCCTCCACGGTCGCAGGTACTCTCCCGTGGGATCGTGGACGCTGCTGAAGTTGACATCGGCGGGGAGAGCCAAGGGTTGGCAGAGGCCAGGGCTTCAGAGAGTTTCTTACAACATCCAGAACCAGTTTCCTCTCCGCATCATTGCTAGGATCTAAAGCAAAGCAGGCCAGAAGCTTGCAAGCAAGTTCGCATCCTTGCGAAGCCCGGCAGGGTCGGTCAGTCTGTAGACCGGCAGCAATTGCTATTTTGCCTTCCACTTATACCTGGCCCCAAACAACACACTCAAACGAGAATGCTAAACTACTCTTGAAAACACCTCTCTTCGCGATAAGACTGAACCCTGAAATATCCCGTAGTTCCAGCCCAGAGGCTGCCAGCTCCCCGGGAGTACGACGTTTCAGCTCCCTCGCCTCTGCGGAGCACGGCTACTTGCTCTTTGCAACTGGGGTGCATCTAGTTAGCTTAAGACCGCGGTTGGTTTGTGTTCAAGTGGAATTCGGCATTCTGTTTGTCGGACAATGCTTTTGCTACGGCGGGTTTTGTACTCAGCTGTCTTCCAAACACAACAGCCGAACATGTAGCGAGGTGATGTTGGGGCATGACACGAAGCATGAGAGGATCACTTTTGATGCTTTGAGCTTTGAGGCTAGAGTATGGCTTGCCCCTCCAGGTGGTGATTGCTTTTGGGGCCCCACCGCAAGCACTTGATGCTCTTCAGAGCCTCGGTCCCGGCATTGGCTCGTGGGTTTTGTGCCGTACAGACGAAGTGGCATCGGCGACGAGGGCTCGAGGTTCTCTGAAAGTCCGTCAGTCGGGTCTCCTCCAGGTTTCGGACCGGTGCTGTAGTTAAATCAGTGTTTCGGGGAGGGTTGTGGTAACTTGTGGTTCAGTGTCGGATCCTCCACGAAACTTTGCATGCATCAAGGAACTAGCCAAGTTTTTTTGGTCGTACGGCTTCTGCTTCCCTGCCCTAGCAAGGAGCGTCTTGCTTCTGGAGCTGTCGACACTGATGCAAGGAGCTGTGGGGAACGCAGGGTGTTGTAATGTCTTGTCGAAAGTGGTGCAATCGCACAGCCAGCATTTGTCCGAATGCACTGCCGCAAGTAGGCTGCGCCGGCAAATTGGAACCCTTTGGTGCCTTGGCATTGCCAGCCCCGTAACGGACATCTCATGTCGAAATATATCAGATGCTGCCTTGCGATTCGTGTGTCTCGGCCAATACTCATACAAGTAGGAATCGGAAGGAGTTGCTTCCACAGTCAGATGAGACGACCTTCTGCCTGCCAGGGTGCAACAGCGAACCCGTAGTATCTGCAAGACCTTTTGGGCCGAGTCCCAGAAGCTGCGCTGCCTATGTTGTTGGCATTTGCGAAGTGATTGCCGTGCTTTCAGTTTACTAGCACGTCCAGGCTACCTGCTCTGCGGATCCCTCGTCATTTTGTTCATTCCTAGAGTGCTCAAAGCATGAGGGCGCATCCACTGCAGGAGCCATGGTGGGCCTGGCATCGCTACTGGTGTTGGTGGGGTCCTGATGTTGTCCGTAAAGTGTTACCGTAGTGGTGCCGAAAGCCTTTAGCTTTAGGCTTGGCAGCAATCCACTCCGTTGCGATTTCCGTTCTCGTCTATGATTTCAGTGAAGATGTACATAGGGAGCTCTTCAGTCGCATCTTTCCGGGAAGTCTCAGGGTTCAGTGGGAAGACAGTTCAAGCCCAAACTTGTCCATCTCATTTTGGTTGACGGTGGCTTCCGATGCAGAGATGTCCGTGTGTCTCTGAGGGAGCTTGTCGACATGATGAAGAAGTCGGTTTGTCATGACATGGTGATGTTAACTGTTAGCCAGGGGTGGGGGTTCTTTTTGGGTATTTTTGTTTGTCATTTTTTTGGTCTTTTTTTGGGGTTTCGCCTGAATGGCTTCAAGCGCCGAGTCAGTCAGTTAGTCAGTCGGTCAGTCGATCCGCGAGCCCGCCGGGCAGTCAGTCAGTCAGTTGGTCAGTGCCAGTCAGTCGGTCAGTCGTCCGTCGATCTGCGAGCGAGCCAGTCGGTGCGTCGGTCGGTACGCAAGCATGCCGCTCTGTCAGTCAGTCGGGCGGTCGGTTGGTGCAGGCGCCAAGCGGCGGGCAGTCAGTCAGTCGGACAGTCGGTCAGTCGGTTCGCCAGTGTTTAAGATAAATGATGAACCGTTATCGCCAAATGAGGGGGCGCGTTTCAAGATATAGGATGAACCAGAATTGCCAAATGAGGGGGTGCGTTCAAGATATATGACAACCGGACTCACCCAATGAGGGGGCGGCGTGTTTACGACATATGGCGAACCGGAACTGCCACATGAGGGGGCGCGTTTAAGATACAAGGTGAGCCGGAATCGCCAAATCAGGGGGGTGTTTAACATGTATGATGAGCCGGAATCTATACAGGATGATCGGATAAAGCGGAAGCGCCAGATAAAAGGGGGCATGTTTAAGATGTATGAGGAGCCGGAATCGCCAAAAGAGGGTGGCATGTTTAAAATATATGGTGAACCGTTATCGCCAAATGAGGGGGCGTGTTCAAGATACATGATGAACCGGAATCACCATAAAAGGGGGCGGCATGTTAAAGATATGTAGTGAACCGGACTCGCCACATGAGGGCGCGTGTCTAAGATATAATTATGGTGAGTCGGAATCGCCAAACGAGGGGGCATGTTTGATATAGGGTGAACTGAACTGGAATCGCCAAATGACGGGGCGTGTTTAACATGTATGAGGAGCCGGAATCGCCAAAAAAGGGGGGCCGGTGTTTAAAATATATGGTGAACGGGAATCGCCAAGTGAGGGGACGTGTTTAAGGTTTATGATGAATCGGTGTCGCGAAATGAAGGGTCATGTTAAGATGTATGACCAAATGAGAGGGCGTGCCTAATATGACTAATATGTATGATGAGCCGATATCGCCAAATGAGGGGGCGTGGTTGAGATATAGGATGATCCGGAATGGCCAAATGGGGCAGCGTGTTTAACGTATTATGTCACGAACCGTTATTGCCAAATGAGGGGGGGGGGGTGTTCCAGATAGGTGATGAACCGTTATCGCGCAAATGAGGGGGGCGTGTTCAAGATGCGTGATGAACCGGAATCACCAAATAAAGGGGCGGCGTGTTGAAGACATGTGGTGAACCGGACTCGCCAAACATGAGGGCGCGTGTCTGAGATATAGCTATGGTGAGCCGGAATCGCCAAATGAGGGGGTGCGTTTAGATTTTTAGATATATGATGAACCGTTTTCGCCAAATGCGGAGG